ACATAGCGCATTAGAAATATATAGTAATATATGTATAATAAAAAGATAATTGCATATTATTAATTCATTTTTTTAAATGCCAAACTTTAACAATTCTTTCACATATAATTAAACAGAATTCTTTCACATGAACATCTAAAATCCATTCTTAACTAAAGAATAAATAATAAAACCATGTAAATTTCTTATCAAGCCCATCATTTCCGAAATGTCTACTTCTGAAAGTTCCCAGCATTTCTCAATATATTATTAAATTACTAAACTAAGCATCAATGATCGTCATGTTCGCTAATGTGGCAATATCTTTCACACTTCTTTGTTACCACAAGTAACAAGTAGGCTTCAATAAATCTTTAACTGTTACATGCTACTTTTGTCTAAAATTTGTACAAATAATAAAATTAAATGAGCTCTTTATAATATGCTCAAAGAAATAATTTTGTATGAAAATTTGTATGTTATATATTGGCCTGATTAATGATTCAGGAAATAATTCAGGTTTTCAAAGTGCTTCCAATAATTCAAATTTCAGCTTGTGTCAAAATAAAATCTATAACACAAAGATAAGCAAATTTCCTTATGAACAATGCATTTTAACATTATTCAATCACACAGTACTGATTGCTTCAATAAACATTACTGTAACTGTGTTATTTAAAAGACTGTAATGTTTTAATTATTTCCTTAATTAAAACATTACAGTCTTTTCCTCCTTCTAACACCAAAAGAAAACCCAGATAAGAAATATAAAAATATCAGCAAAAATAAATTATATTATTGAATGACACTTTACATTAATTACACTTATGCATATATTATTTTATTATAAATTATTTCAAAATCAAAGAAGAGAAGGGGGAGAAACTTTAATATTGACATTTCTAAAATGATATAAACATTAATCATTTAGTACAGTTTGTTATTTCAGGCAAAAAGAATTCACTTTTCTGGATAGCATTTATATTTCCATCTCACTTTCAATGAAACATTAAGAGAAATGCATATAATTTAAACACCAGTTTATTTTATTTATCAGACAGATTATGTCAACTCGAAAAAAACCTATCAGTAAAATTCGGTAGTAATAATTCTGAATGTTAGGCAACTTGCAAGATTCAACAAAAATTATCAATACTTTTATTATAATGACAATACTACAGTAACATGAACATAAAATTAAACTGCATATAACTATAAAATAAGCCAGCATATAATAATGGTGCATTGGTTTCTAAAACAATGGGCTCGATGAAAAAATACATGTATTATGGTAGCTATTCATATTCTTCAGCTTTCCTAATATTCTCATGTTCACTTTACATAACTAAAGTATCTAAAATACAATAAAAATGCAAACAATATTTATGAGAAAATGTTAAAAGCAATCATAAGCATTTGATTGAATGACCATATTTTGTCTTCCTGCAAGTCGAATCTTAAAATGATATGCAGTTTGAAAAATGCTTAATCCTTTTATAAAATATTCAAAAAAGATTAAAAAAAGGTACTGTTCTGTTATCAGGACCGGGTTCAGAAATGTATTTATGTATGCTTGTATATTTGTATGTTTGTGTGTCTACATATACACATCTATGCACATACTTACGAACACAGGTTCATACATTTCCGATTCTGGTCCCAATAACAGAACAGTACCCCCAAAAAAACTTGAATTACAAACTAGATTAAGATAATGTTTCAACCATACATATTTTGGACAAAACAATGCAAACTCTTATTTTTATACAATTGTTCAAACTATTTAACATAAATTTATTGCTGCAATAAAATAATAAGCAATCTGATCACACATATTATTTTGAAACTGAATGCATAAACTAGACTAAAAAAAATTCAATCATAAACATTTGGATAGCAGGGCAAATTAGATATTTGAAAAGACAGCCAGCCATTGAGATACACGTAATTCACGACAGAATGGTAACAATTGAATTCATAAAGCTGTGAAACATTTAACTGTCAAAATGACATAAATTCGAAAAGCAAAAAAAGTAAACATACAAGTATTGCAACTGAACTTACCTTTCATGCAACAAAAAATATCCATACAAGTTAACCTCATGGCGCAGCCATTTTGGATTTCGTTTCAAATCAGACAGATGTTTACGGATTTGCGGAAGAATACGAGGAACTAGTAGTTTGCCGGATACAATGTGCAATGACGCGAAAGAATATAGTTCTGTAGAACTTCCTACATTATTCCGTAATAAACAGTACTATTTCCTAATTTTTTCTTTATCTAATTAATTAATTAATAGGGAAATAGTTAAATAATGCCGAATTCATTTTTAATGAAATGTAAAATTTTGCATGTATGGGACGACCACCTTCCATCCAATATTTCTGAGAATCTAAACAAATTTTGGAATCTGAGAGTATCAGTAAATAAATATATAGAATATCGCCTCTCAAACGACCACTTCTGAAAGTGACCAATAGTTCTGAGATTATAAATAAATATTGATATTAAGTATTATTTCTATAAGACGACCATCTCTATATAAGACCAAAGTTTCTAGAATCTTGGATAGTCATCAGAGATGTATCTTTACTGCGAAATTATCACACGACTGTAATTCAATATCAATAACAGATCGCGCGATTGAAAAACATTTTCTGTCCTGTAATTAGAGGAAAAAAATTTTCCTTATGAGGTATTTCTCCCGCTCTCCTAGCGTGCCTTCGTGGTGTAATAGTTCTGCACGCTGGGCCGGTATTTCAGAGGTCCGTGGTTCGATTCCCGGCGAAGACGGTTGCTAATTTTTCATCTCTACGGCTTCCCAAAAAATCCTAATGTCTCTACAGTGGCGCCCGAACTAAAAAGGTGTGGGATGAGGTATATCCACACCCAGGATTTAGTGATTGGATCCCCTTAAAAAAAATGTTGGCCTTTAAAAAGAGAAGTAATATAAGGTATTTCTCCCGCTTTCCTAGCGTGTCTTCGGCCCTCCAGCGGCCGAGCGGTAAAGTCGCTGAACCCTGGTAGTGCGATCCGAGGTTCGAATCGAGCGAACGGGCTGGCTGCATGGGTGTTTTCGTGGTTTTCCCCACGTGTAACGTGTATACGAGCCAGTTTCCCTTAGAAAGTCCTCCACGAAGACATCCCTCCCCATAGGCAGATAGCCCTAGTGTGCTTTGGCATAATTAAATACACCACCACCACACCTAGCGTGTCCTCGTGGTGTAGTGGTTCTGCACACTGGGCCGGTATTCCAGAGGTCCGTCCTTCGATTCCCGGCGAAGGCAGTTGCTAATTTCTCATGTTTCCTGCTTCCAAAAAAACACCTAATGTCTCTATACCCAAATTTAAAAAAAAAAATTCGTTTCCGTAATTAAATATATCTATATCTAATTTTACCTATATTTGTAGTAGGGTTTGCAATCTGTAAGTAATTATACATGTAATTTATACATTTTTTATAAAAAAAATATATGTTATCTAGAATTTTGCAAATATTCTAGAAAATGCTAATCCATTGAAAAAAATCTTTTCCATGACTAAATAAATTTTTAAAAAAGTCAGAAAAAATAGCAGTTAAAATTAATAACAAAATAACAAGAATAAATCATCAATCATATCAATATTTTCAATGTACGGCATTTAGAAACAACTTAGTAAAATACATATGAAAAATAAAATAACGTGCAAGTTTCAGATGTGCAATGTCAAAAAATTAAAACTGGTAAATTTGAGAACAAATATCCTCAAAATGTTTGACAACGAAAGTCCTCCGGACAGTGCAGAATGAATGTCCTCAGGATGTGAAATTGATGAACTCCTCAGGACATCTGAGAATCAACATCTTCAGGACATCCTGTCATATCCCGGGACATAGCGACTTAAATAAGACATCCTCAGGATGTTAAATTACGATCTCCTCAGGACATCTGAGAATCAACATCCTTAGGACATCCTAAGTATGTCCCGGGATATTGCGACTTAAATAGGACATCCTGAGGATGTTTTGTGCTATGGGGGTATAATTAAAAATTTACGTAAAGAAATAACTAGTGCTGTACTGTGAAAGGGATGACAGATGTGCTCCAAAGTAGCAAATGTAGTAGCCTATTTATATCGCTTCGTGAACAGCTGTGCAATGGTAATGTATATGTAGCGTTTAATGTGCGCTACGCTAAAGCAGTGCGCGATGCCGAATTTGTGCAATTCTCCGGTTTTTTAAACGGAAACTGATTGCTGTGTACTTGGGGCAAACTCCATTTTCTTTCCAGCAATCGAGAATTCAGAGTTCCAGTCACGGCGATGGCATCGCTGATTTTTCACGTTTCCTGTCTTTGAAATAATATAAAAATTTGGCGGACGATTATTTGTCACCACCTAGATTTGGCGACTGTCCTCCCCCCCCAGGGTGGGAAAGAAAGAATATAAGTAATTATCTCCTTCCTTACCATGTGTCTTCGTGGTGTAATTGGAAGCTCATCCTACTGGTAATTGGGAGGTTAAAAGTTCAAATCCCAATGAAAGCATTACTGATTCTTTAGGTTTCTTGCTATGAAATAAATTTAGACTGCACAACTCTATAGTAATAAAAGTAATTAGTACGATACAATCATTTTAAATCCTTACGTGACATTTTCCTTCTCTGCATAAAACAATGTGTCGTAATGAAGCTAACAACTGCTAAGCTTTCATACTACTGATCAGTTTTCGTTGCTGTTCGGCTTTATCTGCTTAAGTAGGAGAGACTTTTGAGTTTAATGTTTACTTATCAAAGTATTAATCAACTCTACGCATTGAAACAATCGTCCAGTTTTGCTGAACGCCGTTAATTAAACCAATGAACAAAGCCCTCTCTAGTATAAGGATGCCTATTATATGTATTATAAGCTCTTTTAATGATGACGATTTATTTTTATAACCAACCCAGATAAGTGGCTTTCATTCACTTATGCTTTGTGATTTGTTCCAAAGTAAATACATTCAGATCGCATTTATATGATATCTTATTTTGCTTTTACAGGAAATATGTGCTCGCCCCAAATTTATTTCAGAGAACACATCACGTTTCGATATCGAACAAGGAGAACTGGGTAAGTGAGTTCATTGTTACACTTAAAACTTTTAATTTTTGTATTTTAACACGTATGGGTTTTAATAAATTAAAATTCTATTTTAACTAAATTCACTAAATGGTGCTGCTAAAGGCTGAAGAAGGAATGTCTGAAGTAAAAGAAAATTTTAGCAAGAAAAAAAAAAAAAAAAAAAAAAAAGACTTAAACATTTTTTCCCCTCGCTTGATGCGACTTATACAAAAGGAGTATTTTATTAGTTATCGAAATAGAAAGTAATATAAAACTAGCTCTCTTGGTCTCAAGTTACACTTTATTCTAGGCACACACTAGTGCAGATATGCCTTCTTTTATGAAAGCTAACTTTACGGTTAGTTCATTTTCGCTGGAGACTTGAATCAAGGCACTCTTTTCATAAACCTGTAGAATATAGATTTTTTTTCTTCTGATTTCTGGTCACTAAAATAGACAAAAAGGTGAAAATAGGTTTAGTCAGTGGCCTGACCATCACCTGGGGCCACAAGAAACCTAAAATTTAGACCTAGGGTCTCAGAATTTTAAGCGTCACCAGAATCATCGTCTAATTCAGGCAAGCTTTTTGTGTCACGACCAAAAATCGAAAAAAAAAAAAAAAAAAAAAAAAATTGGCGGGCCAAGATAAATTTTTCTAAAATTTTGAAAACAATGTACAATTATTACAATTTAAATGTGTTAATGAGATGAATGAAATTGCGATTTCATTTTTAAAAGATCCTTGTATTGAGGTTCGAAGTGAGATGTACTGATTCTAAGGAACGAGGCTAAATGCTCGTCTGTCAGTTTACTTCTGAAATAATTCTTTCTAAGGCTCTTAGTTGAAAACACTTGTTCACATATATAAGGTGAAGCAAGCATAGCGCTGATTTTCTGGGCGTGAGATATTAAATTTGGGAAACTAACTTTCGATAATGATTTGAAAAACACTAACTTTGGCATATCTAGAAATAACTGCTTAAGATGATTGTTAGATTGCAACTCAATTAATTCAAGCTGAAAATCTGATCCTTGCTTCACAACTTACGTTCAAAGGCATGGTAAAAATATGCAACTCTCTTTGAATGGCACTGAAATCTTGAAATCTGCCTTCGAACTCAAACCTGTAAAATAACCTAAGAATAATAAAAAATGTAGTTTTTTTCAAACCATCTTCATAATTCTTAAGCTTCTCTTCATTTACTGAGGGTAATGCATTTAGCCTCGGGAAATGAGACAATCCGTTCTTAGCTAGCTGCCCAGCAAACAGATTAAATTCTAGTTTAAAAGCTTTGAGATGGGCCCAGATATCGTCGATAAATTAATTTTTCCCTTGCATCTTGACATTCAAGTTGCTCATATGATAAAGAAGATCTGTGAAAAATGCAAAGTCCGAAAACCATTCTGTATCTTCTAATATTTCGCACTTCGCAGAACACTGTTTCTCGTGGAAGAACGACACAATGTCGTCTTTCAGCTGCCCGACTTGCTCGAAAATACATCCTGCGCTAAGCCACCTTAGTTTCGTGTCATACAGTACACCAGAGTATTCAGATTGCACGAACCGAAGAAAGTCTCGAAATTGCCTGTGAATAAGCCCACGAGATCGAATAGTATTTACAAGCTTTACGACTGCATCAAGCACAGGTGTCATATTCAATGCAGATTTACACAAAGCATCTTAATGTATAAAGGCCCGTCCACACGAGTACGCTCGAAACGTAGCTGACGAACGCGCTTTTACGTTACCAGCGTAAAACCGTCCAAACGAGTACGCTTGCGAAGAGTGCGTTTAACCAATAGAATTATTTTGCGCAAAAATCACGTGACGCTGTAATATAGCGTCAACAGAGCTGTATCTTATTACTTCGCTGTTCTTCTGTATGTTTGCGGCAAGTTGTCCGAATCAGATGATTTTTTTTTATAGCTGAAACTTTACTATTATGTGCAATTATTAAGCAGAGGCAAAACCGCAAAAAATGGCAAGAATGAGTCCGAAAGATTTATTTAGAGCGGCCTGTTCAAAGAGTTTTTTTTTTTTTTTTTTTTTTTTTTTTTTTTTTACTGCTTTGTTTACGAAAGGAATATCTGGAATTATTAAATTCCTACTATTACCTCACACTCTCCCTATATCTTGTTCAAATTTTCAGTACATAAAATGCTTTTTATTCATCCACTTAAGTTCAAATACAATTTTTTTAATTTGCAGTGAATGACACTTGATGTTAATACAGCTTTTTCACATATTAAATTTTTTTTAATTGTTAATTAAAAAAAATATGTTTGTATTTTTATTTATTTATTTATTTATTTTTGTATTTTTAAACTTTTCTTTGTGGACCTAAGTAGGAATTGACTTAATTTTTTTTGGGGGGGGGGTATATTACTTGTTTTTTAATTCCTTCAGGATGAGTATCGAACATTTTGACAGACTTGCAGATTCTATATCGTATGAAAATTAGGATTTATAAAATTGGTTTGGAATACAGTATATAAAGAGAATTAAATTACTTAATTCTCTTTATATACACTATCCACCATATAATAAAACCAACTTCATATTTTTTTAACTCGCTCTCCCTTGGTCTTTTGTTTTTCTTTTTATTTACTTTTGAATTTAGAATGAGGTTCAAACTTTGGACAGTTTATGAGAAATTATGTGCATGATAAAATATGCAATAAAGTAAAAAATAAAGAGAGAATTTATAGATAATATATGATAAAGAGATGCAGATATATTTTTACACAAGGATTTCTATTTGCACTGCATTTTTTTAAACTAAATTAAAATAATAATAATAATAATGAATAAAATAAGAAATGAAAACAATAATAATAGGTAAAATAAGAATATAATGATTCATGATTAAATATAAGAAATACGTTTCAAAACGAGAAAAGCTAACTGAATTATACCGTCTACGTGTGAGGTTCGAACTTGCCACCTTTCCATCCCTTCGCCACCAAAGCAGCGCGCTGACCACTCAGCTATCTGTGATAGCAGTGTTTGTGAAAAATAATGTAACAAGTAGAAGTCGCTGCAAAGGTAATTTAATTATATTTCAATTAATGATTGCTGTATGATACAAGTTGTAACTTTCCTCCAAAATTTCGTAATTGTATTTTATTGAATACTCTTTCACAGTCAACTGCTTTATTTTAGAAGTTATTATATTGCTGAAGTTAGTTTTTGGTGTATTTAATATTGGGATATTTATAGAGCTTTTTATTACACATGATATAGCCAATATTATAATAATTAAGGAGAATTTTGTAAGGCAAAAACTTTGATTTTGTAGAAACTGTAATTTATTTAGGTTCCTATTACTTACGATGTTATAAATAGGTGAAGCATATGGATATACTGGTCGGATCATTGCTTTATAAGTATACAGTTTTCCCCTTTAATGAGAATTTTAAATGTATACTAACATGTACGGTTTGAGAAATCTAAAGATGGCGTGAACAATGCTGATTATTTTATTGCTGTATACAGTTATATTTCTAAGTAAAATCTCATCTCTCTGTGGCTCTGACGCCATATTGAAACGGGTAAGCAAGAAGGTTTTCTGGTTATGACACGTGATAAGAACTCGGTCGGCTATTGGATATACGCGCGCGTCGCGGGCGAAAAAGCTGAACAGGAACGTACTCAGTTTTACGTCTTCTGCGTCCTGCGAATTTACGCCGGCGTCAAAAAATTTACGTCAACTACGTCGGGAGCGTCCTCGTGTGAACGGGCCTTAACACAATGTAGAAAAACAACATTGTTTCCGAGATTGTTTTGATTAAAGAGTCCAAAAAATCCAGATTTTTTTCCTGTCTTACTTAATGCTCCATCGATCGTAATATTACATATATTTTTATAGGCACTTTCAAAGTTTAAAGCCCTTCCTGAAATTCACGAAAAATATGACATCACGTTGTTAGTTCCCTTTAAAGAACGCAGGCACGCCAGTTCCTCGGTAAAGTTATCATCAACATCTCTTATAAATAATTCTAATTGAGCAGTATCATTTATATCAATGCTTTCATCCATAGCTATGGAAGAAAATTTAAACTGGCCAATCTTTGATTCTAATTGTGGTGTCAAATTTTTATCGATGGCTTCGAATCTAGAAGTTACCATTTTCGAGATAAGCTTACAGTCTCAAAATTATTTTTCTTGTCTGGACATTAAACATCACAGATTTGGAGAATGCATTGTTTCACGAACTTTCCATCACTGAAAGCTTTATTATTTTTAGCAATATTGTATATTACAGTGTAACTTGCATGTGTGGCTACTTCTTGGAAACTGCTTACTTTCTTGAGAATATTTTGTTGGTCTGATAATTGTTTACAAAGACTTTCTGCATTTTGTTTTCTTTCACATTCGGACATTGCTTCCTAAACGGAATTCTTATGCTTAGATGTGAAATGACGGGAAATACTGTATTCTTTGAAGACTACTACAGCTTCATTGCAGAAGAGACACACTGGTTTATCTTTTACGACTGTAAAAAAATATTTCCAGGACCCTTCATCATTAAAAGCACGGCACTCTGAATCAACTTTTAAGTTTTTTAGTAGCCATTTTGGGGTTGAAATATTTTACGAATAACCCAAACAAGCACTAGCTACGCTATACTTTTAATAATTTCACCACTATTCACAATGAGGCTAATATGTCCGCAATCTTTCCATACGCAGTTAATAAATATTAGAACTCGCGCTAAAAGAAGAAGCCGCTGGCTGGAGCTTAAAATGCGCAATCTGCCAAACATGTGAGGTCTAATTCACGTATATTAGATTCCCATATGTCTGCTCCCCGAGAAAGAGATAACGCTTTTGGGCGTCAATCTACAGCTATAACTAACAAAGAACTTCCGCTTTTAAAACACTTTACCGATTGAAAGCTGTCTGTGCTTGCTGTTTCCGTCGATTTATGTTTTGTAGAACAAAACTAGAGAAAGTAAAAAAGATTATCAGTCCTCTGGAAAAAAGGAAGGAAAAAAAAATACTATTTA